AACACGACTGGTGAGAACAATGCTTCGCATTCGAAAGTGAGTTTACCCAGCGTGGGCCTGTTGGCGGTGGTGCTAGCTGCTGTGGTTAAGACAATTATGTAGAGGATAAATTAATGGATAAAATACGTTAAAATATTTCCAAAGCACCACATAGGATGAAAAGACGGTTCAGCGACAATGTAATGCATTTGCACCAGCGTTCAGTGGCTGGGCAGCGGGATATCTATACCCTCTGTCAGGGCGGAATAGTGCAACTAAAAGCAGAAGTGATATCAATATTGAGATTCATCATGATCCTTCCCATCCGTCCAAAATATTCTTCAGTTCATGAGACAACATATTCTCCCCAGTGTCATTACTTTCCCAAAACTTCCCTCGCCCATTTTAAATATTCTTATCATCAGAGATGCAAATCATAAGATTAGGCCTCTGTGGCTGCAAGGCCTTGAGGCACAATGTGTCGATCGGTAGGTCCACGAGAGGTGCTTCGCTTTCCGAGAGACTCGCCAGTGTCCCTTCGCGAGAAAGATGCCCAGGTCTTGAAGCTGGACAGAGACATGGTTCGGGCAAGGCGGCCACCGTCTTCACCACCCTGGCCCCAGACACCACGGCGGACAGGAGCGTCCTCAAGGAGGTGGAAGTGTCGCTTGGTCATCTTCCAGAGCTCGATGCCAGCGACGAACACAACAGTGAAGCCAACGGCCAGAGCCCACTCCCAAGTGATGCCAGTATGCTTGAAGAACTTGTGGTTGAGGACGGGAATGTAGACGACGGGGAAGACAGAGAGACCACCAATGATGACGGACCAGAACAGGAAGCGGTTGGAGTAGATGTCCTTGAACACGGGGAACTTGCTGTCGTCGTCAGGGTTGAGGCGGAAGACGGAGCGGCGCAGACTCTTGAACTCCCAAGCAGAGATGAGGATAAGCCATGTCAGTTCAGCGAAGGTGGCGGCGCGAGCCTTGAACACGGGGATACACTCCTCGGAGTATCGCTGGTTGCACTCGAAGCCGAGGTTACCGCCATTGGCACCATAGACGATGATGACAAAAGTGCACATTGTGCAAGCACCCATGATAATACCGTAGACGATCATGTCAATGATGATCTGGTTGGTAAAGACACCGCGCTTCTTGTCCTGGGGAGGCTTGCGCATGATGTCCTGAGCACCCTGCTCGCGACCAAGTCCGAAGGCAGGGAACGACGAGGTAGCCATGTTGATCCAGATAATTTGGAGAGGCGAGACGGGGAACACGGAGAAGCCACTGTCATCGACGAAAGCAAGACCGCAAACCAGGAGGATAACCTCACCAACGTTGGAAGTCAGGAGGTGGAGGACGAACTTCTGGATGTTGTCGAACATGCGACGACCTTCACGGATAGCGGCGACGATGGAGTTGAACTTATCATCAGTAAGTACTATCTTGGAAGCCGACTTGGCCACGTCAGAACCGGAACCCATGGCAATACCGACGTCGGCACGAGACAGAGAAGGGGCATCGTTGACACCATCACCAGTCATAGCCATGAAGGCACCACGACGACGGAGAGCGTCGATCATGCGGGTCTTGGTGTCAGGAGCGCAACGGGCAATAACCAGAGGAAGTTCCTCGAGAGCATCGATCTCTTCATCGGTCATCCTATCAAAATCGGTCGCCTTCTGAACAATGGACTTGGCGACGTGATCAGGCAGAATACTGAGGTTCTTGGGGATGATGCCGACTTCCTTAGCAATGGCCTTAGCGGTCTCGGGGTGATCACCAGTAAGCATATGAACTCGGATACCAGCGTTAGAGCACTCGGCGATAGAGGGTTTGGTTTCACGTCGGGGAGGATCGTAGATACCAGCAAGACCAAGGAGGATAAGACCCTGTTCGACCTCAGTTCGAAGCTTCTCGTCCTCGGCGGGAGAAGAAGCCTGCTTGGCAGTGAAACGTCCGTCCCAAGGACGGTAGGCGATAGCCAGGACACGCTGACCCTGAGAAGCGAGACTGTTCATCTGCTCAAGAACACTCTCCTTGAGCTCATCGGTCATGGGCTGCTGCTCAGGTCCAGTGCCAGCGTAGTCGCAGAGATCCAAGATACGCTCGACAGCTCCCTTGGTGAAGACCATAGAGTTGGCAGTGTCGATGATGGAACCCTTGGCACCCTCGGGGGCATCGTATATGACGGACATTCGCTTGATAGAGCTATCGAAGGGGAATTCGGCAATTTGCTTCCATCCCTCACCCTCCAGGGTCTTCTTTCCTGAGTTGAAGCGGTGGGTGAAGACCTGGAGCGCAATTTCGGTGGGCTCCCCGGTAACCTGCCACTTCTCCTCTTCATCATCGTATCGGACGGTAGCCAAGTTGCAAAGGGCGGAAGAAAGCAAGAAAGCTTGAAGTTCATCAGTCATCTCGCACTCAACCTCAGGCTCACGCTTCTTGGGTTGAGCATTATTCTGGTTGAGCTTCTCATCGGGAACATCAAACTTGAGAACAGCAGCACTACGCTCGCGATCGTAGTCACGAGGCGCCTCCTTCTCTTCGGGCTCATCGCTCTGCTTGGAATATGTAACTCGGCCCTTGGTGGGATCGTTGGGGCTCTGGGAGTCGCGAACAGTGTAGATGTGGGAAGAGGGGATCCAAGCCTTGCGAACAATCATGGCTCCTTCGGTGAGAGTACCAGTCTTGTCGGAGCAAATATTGGTAACACCTCCAAGAGCCTCGAGGGCGGAGAGATCACGGACGACGACATTGGCCTTGCGCATAACAGTAACAGCAACGACCATGGTGATAGTCAAGACAGCCACCAGGGACTCGGGGATAATGGCGATACCGAGAGAGGTCGCATAGATAATAACCTCGTTCTTCATGTCGAACTTGTTGACAGCAAACACGACGATAGCGAGAATGATAGCACAACCGAATAGGACATAAGCAAGAGCGGAAAGCTTTCGCTGGAGAGGCGTTCCCTCAGTGAGACCCAGGAACTTGCCGATAACATCCCAAGTTCGCTTGGAAGCACCAACAAAGGGCTGTCGCTTTCCATACTTCTTGTAGTTCATAGATCGGCCAGCCTTGCGGGTCTTCTTGGAAGTAGAGGCAGCAATCTTGCCGACCTCAGTAGACATACCAGTAGCAGTGACGATACCACGACCACGGCCCTTTCGGACGACGGTGGTAGCATAAGCCATGTTGACACGATCACCAATACCAATTTCATCCTCGGACTCGACAGGCTTCTCGGTTCCGGGAGCGGTGATATTGTTATCGGTAATCTTCTCGACGGGGATTGATTCGCCAGTGAGTTGACCTTCCTCGCAAGCAAGGTTCATGGCTTCAAAGAGGCGGAGATCGGCGGGGACGGTGTCGCCCATCTTGAGGAGGACGATGTCACCGGGAACGACTTCGGGGCTGTACAATTAATTAGTTTTGAGTCGAGTTTTAGTTCTGCGTGGTAAACGCTTACTTAGAAATAACTTGAGTCTTTCCATCGCGAAGAACCATGGCACTGGGAGAGGAGAGAGCTCGGAGAGCATCCATGCGCTTCTCAGCGCGATACTCTTGCCAGAAACCAATGGTGACGTTGAGGACGATAACAAAGACAAGCACGCCACCTTCGATATAATCTTTGATACCAAAACTAAGAGCCATGGCAAATGCAAGAACCTGTGGCGGGTTAGTTTGGCAAATTGGGTTTGGAGGGGAATGCCACTTACAATGATCATGGCATTGAGTAGCTGCTTGGTCAAAATACTGTACCATGGCACAGTACCGCCCACATCGAGCTCATTCTTGGGATATTTCTGCTGAGCTTCAGCTACTTGTTGGCTGGTAAGGCCCTTGTCGATGCTTGTGTCAAGGGCTTGCGCCGTCTCCTCAATTGTGAGGAGGAACGGGTGCTTGGGGTACTCGGCCGCCATGGTCGATGGATTGAAGATTGGCGACCAGGATTTGTAGGAAAGGGCGCGAGAAGAGAGCTTAAACTGTTGTCTGTGTGCTCTATGCTCTGGGTATAAGTGACGGTGGTTGTGAGATGTATCTTAATGGGTGTGTTGGCGCTGTATACAAGAGTCGATTGACTACTTGAGCTTCATTGACGAGTAAAAGAGTGATAATAATGAAGGAACTAGCTTCAAGGCATTAATGAGTAAATGTTATCTATCCGATTAGAGAACAATCGACGAATGTGATTGATAACTTTGGAGTTTATGGGAAATAGACTTGGCGGGGTGCGGGGGACGAGGTCATATATAGTTGAGGGAGGGAGAAATCTCAAGAAACAATAGTACCGTCATACTTAGAAAAGAGCCCCATGAGAGCACCGTAATTGCTCATGTTATCGCGGACCTGAGTCGTTGCCAGGCTCGGGATTTCTTGGCGTTGGTCCCCCATCCCGAACCCGAACCTAAGCAGCGGTTTAGATCCGCCACCAGACTTGGAGAGCTCACTATTTTCCCCACACACTCCCCCCCATAACCAACCCCTGTAGACAGGTGTTGAGCCTCTCCTCAGGCTACAAATGCAAAATGCAGTGCTACTTGCTTAGTGAATTTAGCCTACCTTGGCTATGGTGTGTTGCTATAAATCAGTTGCCGTATCGTCGACGGCCGTCCCCGGAACGGACGGGAAACGAAACGGACGGACGGCTCCGTGACGTCAATTCTGGTGATGGACCGTATTTTACGCTCCAAGTGCCGTGCTTCCATCGGTAATGGTTGTTCTATACTCAGTCTTCAGTCTATCCATGCAACAGTGTAAGCCTGGATGCAGCACCATTGGAATCCAAGTATGTCATCAAAGTCTTCTCAATCTCTCGGTGCTTTTCTTCCAGTCTCTATCATTTCCAGACCCCAGTCGCGTTACCATCCTAAAACCCCAAATAAAAAAAAAACAGGCCGGTAAAATGGTAAAGTAAGGTAGCGTAGCGTACCGTATCGTGGTGAGACTGTTTGGTGGTGTGTGTAGTGGAGATCCTGGCGTCTTGGCAGCTTGGCGTATGGCGAAAACGTGCAATGGATGGAGTGCGGGACAAGAGAAATCTTGCTGCTCTTGCTGCTCTTGCTGCTCTTGCTGCTCTTGTTGCGGTAGGTATAGTTGAGAGGTGAGAGGTGAGGTCATTGTTGTGCATTGCAAACTTGAATTGTCGCATGGTCGCGGCGGTCATGGATCCTCCTCTCGCTCGCTCCTTACGAGGTCAGCGTGTCTGTCAAGTTTACTGCACTTCTCCAACATTCCCCTAGTTGGTCTTTTGATCATCATGGACCGGTTGTTTCAACGGCATCCAAACCGTTGACACATGGCCTCGATTGCAATGCGAGCATGGTCATAGCTCTCTGTTAGAGCCATGGCAGCATACCGAGCATGACCAATGCAACACTGTTATTAACGAGATGCCCATCTCTTGTCTCAAACTCCAACCGTGCCCACTGGACCATGGGTGCTATGCTTTGCAGCTCTCTTACTGGTACTCGTTCTGAAAGCTCATTCGGCATTCCACCACCGTCCAAGAGTATCAACCGGTACACGACCATGCCATGCCATGCCATCTTAGCCAAGACGAAAGAGCCAAGGCAGAAATCACAAGCTAGTGATTTCTCAACAAACCGCCATCTCGCCGAAGGCAAGAATGTCTGTATCAAGGTTCAGCTGGTTCGTCACATCTTGGCGCCTAGAGTTAGCGGTCGTCGCGATAACCTCAAAGGGTCAACTCCATCTTGGCGGCTCTTGGCGCTTGACCAATGACGCGTATCCAATCAATCCTCGGACCTTCAAGTCAAGACACGCCGAATTATCGAGCACTGCGCCCCCACATCTCTTCTGACGATCCAGCAAAGCGATGTTCTGCTCGCTTCTGTTTAGGTATATCTGCATCTTCCGTGGGGGAACAGACAAAGGTAGAGAGGGTAGCAAGACAAGAAAGAAATGTGAGAAGGTCCTTGGCAGAGACACTCGTTTCTGGAACAAGTTAAGAGGCTGGCTTGGCTGTAGACTTTGGACTCTGTCTATTGGCCTGATGAATCCCCACACCCTGTCGGCTCCTCACTCTAGGACCAACTAACCTTGCGCTTATGTTACTTAAGGTTCTGGGCACTTGCGCTAAGCTTATCGGCTACTCAAAATCAATCATATCACCTGATCCACACTCTCTGGTCTTCTTGTCTTGGCAGGCCGTGTGTTCAGTTCATGTTACGTCGAGAAACCGAAAGAATGCTTGTCAAAAGTCGCCTATTTTTTCTTTCTTCTCTTGTATCGGATTTGTTCGTATTATGGTTAGTGGTGAGACACGCCGCACTGATAAAGCAGAGTTTGCACCCTCGATCGTTGCCGCCATCATTTTGATGTGAATTCTTTCTTTACAGTCTTTCTTCCAAAAGCCTCTTGATTGACTTCCCGACAGGCTCATATCTCCTATTAACTACAAAAAGTTCCTCATTTTCTTCACGTTTAATGCCCAATGTACAGCACCTTTTACACTTTCTCGGCCTCTCCGGAGCCCCGGTTTCCTCCGCCTCAGCCTGCGCCTCCGTATCCATCTCCGCTCCCTTGATGCCAAGACAAAAGTCGTACGAGTCACGTGCTCCGCCGCGGTGCTCCACCTTCCGCTCCGTTGAGGCTTGGCACAGCCGAAGTGGCGGCTTCGGGCCTCAGCACTCGGCATGCGCGGTCCAAACGCCGAGTGACCAACGAGAGGCATCTTGATGGCCGGCCTGTCCTGCACGTCTCCGATTGTGTGACTTCTCGGTGAGCATAAGCAGAAAACTCAACCATTGAGCTTTCTTTGAAGCATTGCGTGAGATGCGCCCGTGCTGAATGGGACCAATTCAACGCAAACAGCGATACTGAAGCGTAATTTCTAAGCGTTAAGTGTTAAGACTCAGTCAGGCTGCCTTGGCTTGGAGTATTGATGACAAAATTTTCCACTAAATAAGTTATGGTTGCTTTTTGAGCTACAGACACAACAAGTGATACCAGGGATGGTATCGAGCTTGTGCCTATCAAAAATCCCGGTTGGTTCACCGGAGCAAGGGATTCACTGCTGAAGTGTCTGATATCTTGCCGCTAATTTCCTCACTAGTGGAAAGAAACAATATGAGACTGGTAGGGATCCATCGGTTTGTTGAGGAACTCACCTTGCTTTTGCGCATGGCTTGCACATTGTAACCCCAGACCCCGCGTCCTACCCCCCCCCCCCCCCCATTCTTGATATTTTTGTACTCGGTGCATAAGGTATGGGAAACAACGGCTGCTCATCACTTTGTGCAGTAGTCTGTGAGACACTGGCCAGAACTAAACGATGCAGGCCTTCGTATCCTGTGTCCGAGCGAGTTGCATTTACAACGGCGGCTGAGGCGACTCTATTCCGCGACCGCTTGAGATCGACAGCTAGTAATAATAGTCTTGTTTCTTTTCTCAACGGTCAGATTCCGTGAAAATCCTGGGCATAATAGTTATAACCGATAAGATCTCGGAACGATATCCACTCAAATTGTCTGCCAAGATATAATGCCGTTAAGCCAACTTCCGCTTCGTGAACTCGTAGCTCAAACCAGCCAGTGACTTGGCCTGCAGCTTGCCAAGCACCCAAGGAGGCATTGATGCACAGTGACAAACTGGCCGTATTTTAAGGCTATCACTTCCTATTACGCCCGAGCTGTCACAGCATTAGACGCAGCCAAGGACTTTGGTGGGGCCGTACCGTATCTGATGCTAAGCCTTTAGAAACGTGGAATTTGGCAGATTGGCACTGAACCAAGAGATAGATTCGAGATCGTTGAAGCTTAATGATGATAAGGAAAACTAGATCGGATTCGCCACACAATGCTTCAAGCTGCCTGTCACATGTGAGGCTAGTAACGTAAAATTGAGGCTTAGAAGTCACTTCACTTTCACACTGATTTCAGGTTAATATGTTTTAGTACTTTAAATTGCTGTACCCTTCGATAAATATTGTTATTCCACAAGGCTACCGCTAGTACCTTATCATTGTCCCCGACATAATCTCAAGCAGGTGGAGTCACTGCTGGCCAAGACAGTTACCAAGGCTCTATCAATGAATGTTGTAGCTATCCCAGCCAGCCAAGAAACAAGCTTCTGACTAATAAAGACGGATGTCTTTCTAATAAGAAACTCTCTTGGCGGTTGGGTGCCGTCACTTGGCCGCATCTATCAACAGCCTACCCCAGATCAACAGTGCACAAGCTCCGCCAAGTTCGCCCAGCCGCCTCTGATTACATGCGTCTTGTATTTATTCATGATCTAGTGTCTAGGCGGAATGGGTCTCTTAGTTATTATCATGCATTTTCGTTTAACAATACGACTTGGCTTGGCTTGAATGGCCGAAGCTCAGTTGCCAAGCTTTCCGCCAAAACTATGTTGCTGTCGTAGCGCTTATTGAGTATATGTATTGGAGACTGAATGAACCATAGAATTAAACTCAAGGTTTCATTCTTTACTGAAAATACATGAGTGTTGAGCTGTGAATTATGAGCCATGATCTTTCTGGCGAGCCGAGTCATTGCAGGTCAAATTTATGTATTGGAGCCTATCACATATTGCTTTTCCAGGGGCTCAAGGTTGAGCACCGGAAATTGTGTACTTGATGCCTTGCGTTTCAACCTGAAGAGCAAAAATCATGAAGCAACTTTCTTTATATTTTTGGCGTGACCTTGTCACGATTTGTTTGCAGTCCTCTTCTGGCTGGATCTGACATGGACGCTGCTGACGAATCAATAATGCACTAAACACAATTATCAGCTTATCTGCAACCATCACATGCACGTATCTTCTCACATTAATGAAACGCACATATAAAGAACGAGTCGACTACCCCATCTCCCCTGGACCTCAGAATGCCTGCCTCGGCTCGGGTAGGGTCGAAGCTTGAGTTTGTCAGCGTGAGCCACCCAGACGAGGTAAAAAGCCGGCACAACAAGCGCAAAATTCATCAGCATGTGATGAAAGATATAGGATTATCAAGAAGAAAGAATACGCGGAGTAGGAAGTTAAGGATCGAGCCGGACATTTCAAAGAATCTGGCACTTCACGAAACCCATGCGGCTTACATATTCTCCCAACCAGATAATCATAGGCATGATGTGCTATCCCAGTCACCAGTGCAGCTTCATGAGCCAGGCGCAGATCGAGCACTCTACTCCAGGACTGACATTAGAGCTAAAATGATGGAGGCCTTTCGTAAGTAACATCTATCGTGAACTATAAAATCTCACAAAGGACAGTGCTTCGACCAAAGTCGTCCATATGCGACAAGGTCAGAGAGATGTGCTTCGCTATCGGCCTTGTCGACCAAGCTACTCTAAGTCTTGCACTTGCGGAGACCGCCCTATATAGCAATGGTTATACAGGTGATATGCATTCTGGGCGAGAAAATTCAACTGCACTGAAGCACTACAATCTCAGTTTACGTTTCACCAGCCAAAAGATCCAAACTTCGAATAGCGTGCCTTCTGACGAGATTTTGATCACTATTATAGGTCTTGCCAACTACGATGTAATGTTTGAGATTATAGCTGAAAGCCACTGCTAACCACCTACAGATGAGCATAGGCAGAGTCGAACGATACAGCACCCACCTGGCTGGCCTAGAAACCTTGGTACGCGGCCGCGGAGGAGTAGAAAGGCTTCGCTCATCATATTTGTTATTGTCTTTAATCTGGTAGGCAATAGTTAAGACCTGTCGCAGATCGGAAACTAACCAAGTTGATATTCACAGGTCAGATGTTATTGGAAGCCTGTCCCTAGACCGTCCACCGAGATTTGTAGCTCCTTCACACCTATGGACTCAGCCTGAGCCGCCCACAATCACCCATGCTCTGGCAAAAACCCTAAACGCTCTGTGCAACTTGTCACCAGTTCTTTCAGACTTATGTTCGGTTCTTCTATCACTCACAAGAGTTGCTAAGGCGTCTCTGCACTGGGAAGAGTCGACGTTCCGTTACTGTGAAACCATCCTCCATAGCTCATACTTTCTCCTCTTAGTGCCAAGGCACATACCGTCAGAGGGCCCAGAAGGGCATTCTTCTAGAATATCACTAATTCACCAAGCCGTTCGTTTGGCCGCTTTGAGGTTTCTCGTCACTGCTGCTGAGCACAGTCATCACACACTCGGCGCCATCCAGTATCGCAAACCTCAACTTTCACACCTACTGGCAGATTATGAGATATCGTGGGATGGATTGGAAGAACTTCGGGTCTGGGTACTGGTCATGGCGGTAGTGACCGAAGGGACTCATGACAAAAGTTGGATGACGGAGAGGATAGCCATCACGATTGAACGACTTGATTTGAACTGGACCCAACTAAAGGGAACGCTGAGGCAGCTTGCTTGGGTAGATTCCTTTGAAAGCCAGTTCAGTAAGCTGGAGGAGGCCATGAAGAGTCAGAAGGGGATAGCCAGGGTTGATTCAATACCGCGAAACTGATGAGAAATTGAATTCATGCGATTGGCCAGCTCGGATCAGATATCTCGGACTATGTGCCTCGGACTCTTCATCAACTAACCTGGCAGGCCCCCGATTACGGAAGATCAACCCGTTGTTCCTGTATTAGCATAATTCAATCCATTGAACTCGAGCATTGAATGGTCAGCTCGCTTTCAAACGATATCTAAGCCTCAACTAATAGAGCATGTATCAAATAGAGTCGTGCCTCAATATTTAGCCTAATAACGTTCCCCAGGTCAGTTCCTTCGATTTTGGGATACCTTCCTAATGATACATGTGGCGATGTGAGCTTTGGAAGAATTCGAGGGATTCTGCCGGGTTTTAGGCTCCTGTAAGAACGACGGTTCGAGTGCGAGGGGGGCGTTTCTGTGCGAAGGCACGGCTGTTTGCAATATTTTGTCTCTCTATTTAAGTAATGAAACCATTCAAGTCACTTTGAAAACGATACAAGTACTTCCCTTTGTTAGATTCTGAGATGAAGGTCAATAGTTTTATTAGCGCTCTGGCGTTGTTCGCTGCCGGAACTCGTGCATACAAACAGCTCACTCCCCAACGTGTAGCAAGTGATATCAAAGCAGAATAGTAATGAAGTACCCTCTGATCAGATACCTCTTGAGGATCAAAGACTAACTATCTGTAGTCTCAACCAGACACTTCAAGCTTTATACAAAATTGCCCTCGACAACAGCAATAACCGGGCCTTTGGACTCCCAGGTTACAAGGCATCGCTTGATTTTGTTCTTACACGTTTAGGCGGGGGTAACCATTTTGATATTACTGTTCAGCCATTCAATCATCTCTTTTCCCAAACTCGAAAGATTGTCTTGACAGGTCCCGATGGAGAACATGTTGATGCCGTCTCACTGCAGTACAATCATGCAACTCCTCTGCCTGGCGGCGTAGCTGCTCCTTTGGCTCTCGACCCCATGGATGATGTTCGTGGCTCAGGCTGTTTCGAGGACCAGTGGAAGGGCATTGACGTCCAAGGAAAAATTGCCTTGATCAAGCGTGGAAAATGTCAATTTGCAAACAAGCTCAAATTGGCCAAGGACAACGGTGCTTCAGCAGCCGTAGTATTCAATAATGATCCCAAACAAACAGCGGGATCTGGCTCCCTCGGAGCTGAGAACTTTGGTAAACTTGCACCAGTCGCTGTCGTCACGTACGACGAGGGAAATCCTTGGGCCGAACGTCTTAGAGGAGGAGAGAACCTTGAGGTCAATCTGACCATCGACGTCTTGACTGAAAATGCGAGACTTGGCAGATCATTGCTGATACCAAGGCTGGTGATTCTAACAGTGTTGTGATGCTGGGTGCTCATCTCGACTCTATTCAAGAAGGCCCTGGAGTTAATGATAATGGAAGTGGCGTCGCCGCCTTACTCAGTATCGCCGAGTCGGTCAAGAAGTATAAAAACTTCAAAAACAAGCTTCGATTTGCCTTCTGGGGTGCTGAAGAGAGTGGAATGATTGGATCGACTTACTACGTTTCTAACCTGTCCAAGGATGAGTCCAGCAAGATTCGATTTTACTACAACTACGACATGATTGCCTCTCCACAGCCTTACTACATTGTGTATGCCGACTCGGACGCACACAAATCTGGCGCAAAATACCTTTATGAGTTTTTGACCGGCAAAGGGTATCCTGCTAGGTACATGTGAATTCTGTCTCATAACGCCGGTTGAATGGACTCTGCTAACACGCCACAGGCGCTTTGGGGCGTCCTCTAACTACGTGGGGTTCCTTGAACTCGGCATCCCTTTATCTGGTATCTTCACAGGGGCTGGTGCTCCTCGAGATGCTTGCTATCATACTCTGTGTGATGACATCAAGAACATCAACCAGGAAGCATTCCTCATCAATGCTAAAGCTGCCGGTTACGCCGCCGCAAGTCTTGCCTTGAGTGTAGATGAGGTACCTATGCATGAGAACTCAAGTGTCAACCCTTTGGACAGGCGTGGAGTAGCAAGAAATATCGTTCGTTGAGCGAATGTCATTCGAGGTGCAGAGAAGATGCATAGCTGTGGGAGTGAGAGGAAGGTCTTCATGTGAGGCAGTGGCTAATTATTTTTAAGTCCGCTATATAAGATGGAGGTTTGGTTTATGGCAATTTTAACTTTGAATAATGATCAAAGTTATGTGCTGGTATTTACAACGTAGGGCTCGGGATGCAGAGGATCTGAAATCTCCCAGTCTATGAACCACATAGTTTCGCATTAGCAGACAAACAGATACAGTTTGACATGGGACCTTTTGTGCGTTATTTTGAATTTATAAACAACCCTAAGTAGACAGAATTTTAGGTCTTCCTTCGGCATCTAGATCGAAAACGTCTTCCTCAATCTTGGCCCCATTCCTCAAGGCCTCCTCAAGGCCTCCCCTCAGCATGTAGGGATCAGTTGAAAATCCCTTATGCCACTCTCGTCCTTCATATTCCTCTTCGACGGGTTTCTCACCAGTAGCCTGGATTGCTTTAGCACTCTTTTCAATATTCCCCCAAACTCGGAGAATGTTTTCTCCTGCGAGCAGACGGATCTGCTCATCTGTTGCACCTCGCTGCATGAGCACCTCCATCAAGCTGGGATACTTGGAAACATCCTCTAGCCCAATAGGCACGTTTGACATGCCAAAGAAATCCGCACCGATTCCAACGCAAGTCCAGCCACATACTTCTGCGATGTGGAAGATATGATCAGCCACATCGTGTATTGATGCTTGTTCCGGATGCTTCATGTTGAGGAAGCGGTTGAGGAAAACAGCCATAACTATGCCGCCGTTGTGCTTGACCTGTCGAAGAACATCGTCGGGGACATTTCGAAGATGCGGCTCAATGGCGTATGCTCCAGAATGCGAGAAGATCACTGGCGCTCGAGCAATACTGAGAACATCCCTCATTGTCTGATGAGAAACATGTGATAGATCAACCATCATTCCCAACCTATTCATCTCTCTGATAGCTACCTTTCCAAGCTTTGCAAGTCCGATGTCCGCAGTTCCAGAGGCAACAGTCGAAGCTGCCATTGCGAATGCATTGTCACAGTTGTGGGTAATTGTCATGTATCGTGCTCCCAGTTCATACATCTGCCGAAGGCTTGCAATGCTGCCACCAACCTGGTGGCCACCTTCAATGCCAATCATGCTTGCGATGCGGCCTGATTTGAAGGCCTTTCTAACGCAGGCCGCCGTATCGCAATACTCCAAGTCTTTAGGGTGCTCTCGGATGAAGCGCCGAGTCACATCAATTTGTTCAAGCGTGTCTCGAACGATCCACTTTGAGGAGATTAGCAACGGTCCAACACGAGAGAAAATTCGGCGAAAGAGTTGCCACTTACAGAAGGATCCTCGAAGTGCTTTTGCTGTTCATCGCAGTCTACATAGACGCTCCAGAATTGACCTCCGACCATGCCTTGCCTCAGCCGCTGTAAATCTGTATGGCCCAGCAATCGATTAGTAAAGTCGAAACGTTCATCGTAGATGCGGTTCTTGAGTTCAAGGCGGAGCATGAACGGTAGATCATTATGGCCGTCAATTAAACTGTGGATTGTCAGTGCAATTCTCTCTCTCAAGTAGGATCAAGAGTCAGCTTACGGCGTCGTCTTGAGGATTCGCTTGGTACGCTCTGCATAATTCGTGGGATCAATTGACTCTTGGCCAGGCCATAAGAAGGTAAATGGACTCAGGAAGAGCACGATCCCAGCGGTGATGACTGGATATCGAAATCGTGACCACCAAGCTGTGGCTGAGGAACTGGCGTGCAGTACCAACGCCCCATCGCGATTGTTATTAGTTGACGTCGTTGATTGGGGAGTGTTCGCCTGCTGGCTATTTCGTCGGGGCGGCGAGGCCACAGTCGGTGACGAGTCGGCCATGATCACCAAACTATGCTTGCGAAAATGAATAACTTGAGCATGGAAATTAATGACCAATTGCTTGAAACTTATACGAGTCTAGATCGGAGCAGAGTTTGCGATTGAGTCATGATTATTTATCCTTGCTAACCACTGAACAAGTGGAGTCGTAAGCGGGCTACAATGAGATTGACACACTAGTAACTCAGCTACATGATGGATGGATCAGCAAACGCAGGGACAGGATTGAAGCAGATAACAAGAAAAGAAAAAGACATATTTTTATTGAAAGACCGCCTTGATATGGATTATATCAATGAAATGTTGTCTTTTCTCGGATTCAGATTGATTTTTCGTCGTCGTTTCGAGGTTTTATCATCAGGCGGGATGTGAACTAGCGGCATTGCGACGGTAATGGTGCCACTGTCTGAGACACCAAGATGTCAACATCAGAACAAAAAAAGTGTACTTGACACCCAGAACTGGTACTCTTTTCTTTTTCCCGGATATAATTAAGTCAACCAAAATGATAAGTTCCAAGTAGTTGCTATATCGAACTTGACAACGGTTCTTGAGCATCCATCTCAATCCTGGACCCCTTGAATCAGATTCTTGATTCCCTCACCATTCATGGTTTTCTTCCACGCTTCCGGAGCTTGATTGAAGGGAGTAACGCTACTAATCAGAGACGAAACTGACACCTTTCCGGATTCAAGAAGCCCAAGAGCAATGTCAAAATCCCCAGGGCCGTATCGAAACGAGGTTTTCAATACCATTTCTCTCTCGCACATGGCGTGAAGAGGCAAAGTCTGCATAGCTTTGCCAAGTCCAATTTGAATAAAAACACCTCCGCGTCTCAAAGAATAGATACCAAGTTGGGCTGATGATTCGACTCCGGTGCATTCCAGGACAACATCAGCACCATCGACAAGACCAGTCTCTTGTTTCAACCTAGCAGCTTCCTGTTCAGGTGTTGAAGCGGAATTCGATTGGGGCTTATAGGCTTGGCACTTGAGACCTTTTTCTGCAAACTCAAGTTTGTTCGCGTTGACATCGGTGATGACAACCTGCTTGGCTCCATAGGCCCACGCTGTTGCCGCTGTGAGATAGCCCACAGCCCCCGCTCCTTGGACTATGACTATATGGCCAGGCCGTACATCGGCGAGACGAACACCATGGACAGCGACACTCAAAGGTTCCACGAGTACAGCCTCTTCCAGGCTGACGGAGTCGGGAATTCTATACGCGAAGTCCTCTGGGATCTTGAAATATCGAGAAAGCGTTCCGTGCGTCGAAGGGGGATCCGCAGCGAACTTCATCTTCTGGCAGAGATTGTATCGTCCGGATTTGCAGTATGTGCAACTCTTACATGAGAAGCCTGGTTCAATAGCCACGCGGTCACCAGGCTCGAGGCTCGAAACCGCTGGGCCGGCTTTGTAGATGACTCCGGAAGCTTCATGGCCCATCACCAGAGGATGCCCCTCAGAAACCTTTCTTGCAAACCCGCCTTCTGTCCAGAAATGAACCTGCTGCTGTCAGCGTTATATCGAAGACTGTTGGGTTGATACTCACATCGCTACCACAAACACCTGTGTATGCAATCTTCACAATTACATCATGCGGATCTTCAATCTGAGGGATTGGTCTGTCACCGAAGCGAGCGTCTTCAGGGCCATACAGAAAACATGATGGGTTCTATCAAGCTTTTGTCAGTCCATTATTTATCAAAAGCTAGGGCGATACTGACCGTCTCACTCATAGTGTAAAGTAAGATAGAAAAGGTCCAGAACCAAAGGACAAAAGACGCAAGTGTATGGATACTTTCAAAATTATGAAACCTTTGCTACAATATATGTATATACATTCGACACGGCTGTTACTGTAATCGCAGTCAGGTGATAATTCTCTTCGGGTCACTGTCCTCCGAAGGTGGGGAAGCATGACTGCATTGCCGATGTCACCTCTTCATCGCGAGCAATCAGAACAGAGAATTGAAATGTTGGGGATGACCGGGTTGTGGTAGGCCAGTCCAGTTCACAACCCATCTGCATCGCATCGCTGGCATGGATATGATAATTCGACAATATCTTTAAAAATGATTGATAGTATATACAAAGTTTGATTTTCGTGACTGTAATGAGAAAGGCAGGTAGTGTAATCAGCTATAGACTTTTAATGGGCAAAAATAGCTTGAATACTGGTAGGCTTTTCTGCACTTGACAGTCGTCTCTTATTCTATATAGATTACCTAGACAGATGATAATTTGAAACCATTCTCAGACTCAACTCAGTGGTCATTACTTTGTGGATATTTGCACTCTTATTCAATACCGACCGTCGAAAACTAAATCTATGGCACTTTAGAGTCCCCCCCCTTTAACTGTCTTATGGCAACACGTAGCCTCCATCAATCAGAAGATCGCTTCCGGTCATGTAAGTTGAAGCATCGCTAGCAAGGTACAAGTAAAGACCCTTGATCTCCTTGACGTGTCCCTGTCTTCCAAGAACAGCCATGCGATACGCCTCATTAAGCGCCTCGGGGCTTGCACCCATCTTTGTATCAAAGAAACCAGGAGATACGATATTCACACGAGCGAACTCACGCCATTCCCTAGCGAGAGACTTTCCAAAGTGTGTTATAAAGGCCTTGCTCCCGTTATAGACTGGCTGATCAGTTGGTACGTTGACGATATGGGCACTCATGCTGGAGGTGATAATAAAGTTCCCGAAACCCTGACGCTTGAAAATCTCGCCGGCGTATTTGGCAGAGAACACAACTCCGTCAACTACATGGTTCTTAGTGGGACCAAAGACGTTGGGGGTGATCACTTACCATTCACTGACATCTGCTTCCTGTATTCTTCCAGAGTTTGCTCAAGCATGGGTTTTGAAATTGCCATGCCTATCACCAATTTCTTAGCTCTATCCAGAATACCATGATCCTTGGCCCGGAAACACTCACCTGCATTTGCAACATAGACATCGATTTTGCCAAAATCGTCAAGAACGGCCTTTAAGGCATTTTGAATTTGCTGTGAGTCGGATACTGAGGGAAACATTCGTGTTAGGTGCTGCTAGAGGCTCTGCTATGAAAGGTACCCACCGTCGACCTTGTAAGCAGTTGCTTTGGTGCCATGT